TATGTGGGACATGGCCTCAGCATGGCTGGAGAAGCGGTGCGTTGGTGCGCGCCTGGGATCCGAACACGGGCCACCAGTAGCGGAGTGCACACACTTAACCGCTAAGCCACGGGGCTGGCCCTGAGGCACTGTTCCTAATTAATCATCTTTTAAAATAAAGAGCAGAAAAATCAGAAAAGCCTTCACAGCTGGTTTGAGAAGGGAAAACAGCAAGGGACAGTGGGTGGTTTTGATGATTTTTCCTTTTTCCTTATTTTCGTGTCTAATTTGTGGTGTCCTGTCCCAATTAGCCATCATGGTGATTAACAGGGAATCTTCCTAAGAGGAAATTGTGGAGGACACGTTTTAGGAGGGTCAGCCAGCTGTTGGGATAGACCAGTGTTAGGATCTTGATAGTGGCTAGAGGGTGTGTGGTGGGCAGGTTTCAGATAACTGAGCTAAATTGTAAACACTTTTGATTATAATGCTGTCTTTGTGTTTGAAGGTGGAACTTTGCAAGGCTTCATCTCGGACGTATTACAGAAGAGAGCACCAGTTTTAGCTCTGAGTCTGCTTCTGGCGGTTGGGTCCCTCCTTGGATATAGTCGTGAGTATTCGTTCCCTTGTAATTAAATTGTGTCCCTGATCTCTTAGGACTAAGGCATTTGCCTTGAGTCAGTGATCAACCTTTGGGAGATCCTTGACACCAGCTGCAAAGGCATGATATGGGACCTTTGTATTGTCCTGTGAATGCCCGGTGAAAGATCATCACATGGTTTTATTTGTGTTGGGAAGGAAACTGGCATCTCTTCTGCTTTGTTGGTTTGTTTAAAAGCTTGCTTGGGAGTGTGTATGCTTTGTTTGAGGGGAGGCTCCAGAAGGACGGCATTAGAGCCAATAAAACAATAAAAGGGAAAACGTTTCAAAAGAGGAAAGATGGTAATTAGTAGGTTTGGGATATGTTCCTTAAGATGCTGCTGAGATGGGAGTAGAGTTTTTCTGTAGCTTTTAGAAAGTCTCATTAGTTTGGGCACCAGCAAGAGGCGGACATTACAGATAAAAGTTGGAAGAGGTGGTGAAAGAGTTGTGTCCGTTTGTTGTCTCTGGGTGATCTGGGAGGTTACAGAGATCCAGATCTTTGTGTGCTGTTCAGTGGAGGCACAAGTAATGCGCTTTTCAAGTCAGCTTCCTGTGTCTGTGTCTTTCCTCACAGGTTCTCCAAACAATAAGTCCATTAATGCACTTCTGATGGCTGTAACAGGTATGGCATATGGCTCCATTTCACTGTACTATTCCTCTATAAATAAAAAGGAAACTGATTTCTCCCTCAGTTTGAGTAATACTAAAACCTTAATTATAGAGAACTCAAGTGGTAAAAGGAAAGAGGCCTCCTCCATAGTCTGTTTCTCTGCTATTATGTGACTCCTCAGTCCTGCTGTTCCAGAAGCAGTCACCTTTGACGAAGATTTCCTAAAATTTTTGATTGCTGCCCCAGCTTCTCGTATTACTTCTGGAAGTGACTTAGGAAGATGCCACAGTGGAAACCAATTCACCAGCTTTCAAAAAGTCCATTTAGCTAGTTTTTCCTCCTGTGTGGAATTGGTGAGAGTTTCTTCACTTGAGCCCCAGATGAAACAATTGAGTTCAGTGAGGGACCATATTATAGAAAAATTCCTTATTTTTAACCTTAGATCATTTTCAGGATAGTGAGAGCTGTGCGTGCTACATGAGGCACGTGGAACTGATTCCAGCCTTGTGAACAGCTTCACACGGGCCAGCTCAGGCTCAGTCCATGGATGGCCTCACCGAGCACAGTGGCAGATAGAAGCACCTGCACCACTTAAATAGCGTTTTCTCTTCTCTCTCTCTTTTTTCCCAATGTGTTTGGTTGAGCTTGGGTAGTTAAATGCTCTGTGATGCACCTCTACCAGAACAGAATTTGACAAGCTAGTGCAATTAGTTATTAAGGAGCACACTTCACAGGATTCGAAAGGCTGCGTGTTCACTATATTTTCTATATCTTTGGTTTCCATAAAATATACTAGAGTGTCACATAATTCAAGAAGGGATTTCAGAAAAGTGGATGCTAACTAGTTTGAAAATGGTACTATCTGGGAGAGTTTCCATTTTTACTGGCTATTTTTCCCTTTTTCCGTTTCTGTCCAACCTACTAATTAAAATACTGGGATAAGAGTTTGCCTTAGTCAGTAGATTCCTAATGGTGTTACGAATAGTCTTTTAATAAGAACCTGTTCTGTTTATGACTTTAGGATTTTTTATTGGCGGACCTTCGAACATGATTAGCTCTGCTATTTCTGCGGACCTGGGTCGCCAAGAGGGGATTCGAGGGAGCAGTGAGGCTTTGGCGACCGTCACAGGAATTGTTGATGGAACTGGGAGCATCGGAGCTGCGGTGGGCCAGGTGAGAGGGCAGGGGAGGGGTTGAAATTGAGCGTTAAGTAGTCCTTCAATGGTGGAAGAATTTACACCTGTCCACTCGGCCACAGTAGGTGGCACTCTTGTGCTGTAGTATACTGTACTGAAAGCCTGGGGTGTTTAGTCTCCTCTGAGGTCCGGCTGATATGACCTAACATGGAAAGTCCCTCTACATTTTCAGTTCCTTCTTTCCACTTTTACTTCCAGATTCTTCCTGTCTGGAAATAAGCTAACACCTCTTAAGACAGATCCTTTAGTCGTATCCTGCCAGGCCCTTCTTCCCAGCCCAGACTTTGCACTCTAAGGAAGCCAGAAGGCACATGCTTCTTATTATCCCCCACCTGACGTGGAAACCCTACGTTCTCTCTCCCTGCCAAACTCATACATGTACACACGTTCTTCACCTGGATCCCCACCAGAAATTACCGTGGACTCTGTTGCTTTCTCTGCTTCCTACAGCTGTGTCTCAAAGGGTGGTTCATAAGTGTCTCATATCAGAAGCACCTGGAATGTTTATTAAAGTGTGGAACACTAAGCTTACTCCAGACTTGCTGGGGTAGAGCCTGGGAATCTGTATTTCAACAAGCGTTCCTGGTGATTCTCATGCACTCTAAAGTTTGAGACCTTCTAGGCTAAGATTGGCCTACTGTCGGTAGTCAGAACTATTCAAATCGATCTTTTTTGCTTAAATTCAGCCTTATCTCAGAAAGGTATCTCTTCTCTGGGACAGTCATGAGTTACGCCTCTCCTAGGGTATACCATCCCTAGGTCATTGAGTGCTCCAGGTCACTGAATGCTAATTTTGCAAAAATATGGATTTGAGAATCATCTGCATGGATAAAATAGTTGAAACTATGGAAGTGATGAGATGTTTAGTGGGGGAAGAGAATATAGGCAAAACCTCAAGGGACGCCCAGTGGGCAAAGAAACAGCCGCAATTGGAGGAGGTTAGTCAGTAAGATCATAGATGTAGAGAGGTCCGGAGAAGAGTGGAAGAAAAAGGCTTGTTGTTTTGACATTTAGGTCGTTAATGGCCTGGAAGATTGCTGTTTTGCTTGCTTGAGGGGGGCATCACCGATGTCTGATTGCTAGTGGTTAATGAGAGAGCAAGTATTGAGGAAGAGAAACCATCTCAACACCTATGACTATGCAGCCACATTTATGTGTTTATTTGTTAATGTCTCTCTCTCCCACTCTAATGTAAGCTTCGTGAGGGCAGGATTTTGTGTTTTCTGTGTTCTGCTGTAGTCCCAGTACCAAGAATGGTGTCTGGCACACAGTAGACATTCAGATATTTGTTGAGTGGTTGTAGAATGGATGATTGATATGATTGATATGCTTAGCATATTTGATTATGAGACTGAAGGGGAGAAAAAACTTGGCAAAGACAGGAGAAATTTGCTTACTTGATCATGCTCTGGAGTAGGAACCAAAAAATGCTATGGGCCTCCAGTTGAGATATCTTTATGTAAGGAGTAAGGGGTGACTATAATTCTGAAATTACTGTTTTTTCAGTTACTCTTCCTCATTAATGTTTTCTTCATTGTATCCCAAATGGGTGGAGTATAATTAGCATTTCAGGGAGTTTACTTTTATTTAGAATGTCTCACCTGCCAGTGTTCAGATCCTTAACTGTGAACTTGGGTCAGTAATAGACTGACTTTCATGGTTTGGGAAGCAGAATCAGGAGTAATTCATTGTTAGCTTTACTCATTCCCCTTCTATGTTGATTTTCGAATGATTTCCCATTGTATGAGGTATGAAACCCCGAATTCCATGACTTAATATTAAAAACTCTGTCAGCCTTATCCTCAGCCACTCCCTTAACTCACCCTGAATAACTTTGTTCCCCCCACCTTTCCTTGACTTCCCAAGAAAAAACAATGTTTTTTCCTCCTGGTTTCCATAGCACTTGGTGCATACCTCTAATAGAACACTTGTCACAGAGTGTCACATTTACTGGTTTATTGATCTGGCCACTGTACCAGACCCTGCATTCCTTGAGAACAGGAATTCTGTCTCCTTTATCTTTGTGTTCCCAATGCTTAGTATGTTTTTGGCATGTAGCAGGGGCTCAGTGAGATTAAATTGCAGTATCTACTCAAGAGAAAAGAGAACAAATGTCCACATAAGCACTTGTACACAGAGTTCATAACTGGATTATTCATAACAGCTAAAAAGTAGAAACAATTCAAATGTCCATCTATTGATGAATGGGTAAGTAAAATGTGGTATATTCATATAATGGAGTATTATTTGGCAATTAAAGAAGACTTGATAGATGCTACAGCATGGATGAACCTCAAAAATATTATGCTAAGTGAAAGAAGCCAGTCACAAAAGACCACATATTGTATGTGATTTCATTTATATGAGATATCCAGAATAGGCAAATATGTAGGGAAAGAAATTAGATTAGTGGTTGCCTAGGGTTGGGTGAGTGTGGGGAGAGACTACTAATGGGTACAAATTAGATTATGGTGATAGTTGCACAGCTCTGTAAGTTTACTAAAAACCATTGGGTTGTACACTTTAAATGTATACAACATATAATTTATGTTATGTAAATTATGTATCAATAAAGCTGTTTAAAAGAAAGGCAAAGTAGCAGTCGAACAGTTTGGAGGGCCCCTGTGCTTCCTTTAATGGGTAGCTAGACCTCTGCTTTTTTGCTTTGCATGATGTGATCTAGGCTAAATCACTCAGGTGTTCTGCTTTAATTTCTTCCACTTATAAATTTCACTAGTAATGGGATCAAAGAATATGGGTTAAACTCTCACATCTGTGGTCAGTTGATTTTTGACAAGGGTGCTGAGACCATACAATGGGGAAAGAATGGTTTCTTCACCAAATGGTGCTGGGAAAACTGGATATGCACATGCAAAAGAATGAATTTGGACCCTTACCTTACACCATATACAAAAATTAACTCAAAGTGGATCAAATACCTAACATTAAAGAGCTAAAACAATAAAACTCTTAGAAGAAAACATAGGGACAAATTATCAAGACAAATACATACAAATGGCCAATAAATGTATAAAAGGATGTCAACATCCTTAGTCATTAGGGAAATGCAAATCCAAAACACAATGAGATACCACTTCACAACTATTAGGATGGCTATAATAAAAAAACAAACAAACAGAGAATAACAAGTATTGGTGAGGATGGGGAGAAATTGGAATTCTCATACGCTGCTGGTGGGAATGTAAAATGGCACAGCTGTGTTGTGGAAAACACTATAGTGGTCCCTCAAACAGTTAAGCCTAGAATTACCCTATGACCCAGCAATTCCACTCCTAGTAATAGACCCCAAAGAATTGAAAACAGGGACTCGTATTTCTACGCCAATGTTTGTTGCAGCATTATTTATAATAGCCAAAAGGTAGAAACAACCCAAGTGTCCATCAATAAATGAAGGGATAAACAAAATGTGATATATCTGTACAATGGAGTATTATTCAGCTGTATAAAGGAATGAAGTTCTAATACATAGTACAACATGGATGAACCTTAAAAACATTATGCTAAGTGAAATAAGACAGATACAATAGGACAAATATTGTGTGATTCCGCTTAACATGAAATATCTAGGAGAGGCAAACTTATAGACACAGAAAGCAGATTAGAGGTTACCAGGGGCTGGGGAGAGGGGATGATGGGAAGTTATTGCTTAATGGGTGCACAGTTTCTGTTTGGGGTGATGAAAAATTTTGGAAATAGACAGTGGTGATGGTTGCGCAACACTGTGAGTGTATTTGATGCTGCTGAGTTGTCCACTGAAAAATGGTTCAAGTGGCAAATTTTATGTTATATATATTTTACTGTAATAAAAAGAAGAAAATGGGTTAAATGCTCTTAGATCCTTTTTAGTAATTGAAAGTAAAGTAAAAGAATATGCTGTAGAATGTTGAGGTCAGATAGTAACCCTATGAGCAAATAGCATAATTGGGAAATGAGTGGTATACCTAAGACAAACTATTTTTGAAAGCATCAATTACAGTACCTTTCATTAGAAGAAAGAAGGATTAAACAGAAGTGGCTTGAGGATGTTCATCTTCCTTTCTTAATAGCAAAGTGAATAAAAATCAACCTTCTGAACTCATGTCTTCTGCTTTGCAGTTCTTGTGCTTGTCTTCTGCCAGCTTACAGAATGAAGGCCAGCAATAGAGCTTAGATAGGAACGTGTATGTGAAACAGCTTCGTAAACTGCAAAACATCATACAAGCCCTCACTCCCTTCTATTTTCTAGAAGAGCCATGTTGAATCTACTTTTTAGCTACTTCATTTTGTTAATTTGTAAAGAATTATATTGTAATTTCTTTTTTGCCCTTCTAGTATTTAGTGTCTTTGATCCAGGACAACCTGGGATGGATGTGGGTTTTCTACTTTTTCATTCTCATGGTAAGTATGTGCCTTTTTTTTTAACTCGTAGTTTTTCTTATTAATTGAGTTCCAAGAATTTACTTAAACCACATCTTAAACCAGCAAAATTGCTGATTGCCGCATTCCTTTTGTGAAAGTTAACATTTTTATTAGTTTGAAAGACACATTCCTTTTTTCAAGGAGGGAAAGGGCCCTTGGTTTGCCCTTGACTTGAATCTAATTAGTATTGTCATTTATAATTCCAGAAAAAATGATGAGAGATACTCTCATGATGAGAGATGAGAGATACTTTATTTAAAGTATCACAAACCATTAATCAGTGTACTCTTCCAGGGTCCTCTCTGTCTGAATTCTGAAGAAAATTACAGCATATGCCAAGCCACACAGGGTTAAAAAAGAAGCATTGCTGTAATTAACACTACGGTGTGCAGGTTCCAAAATGAACCTTGAGTCGTGAGAAAATATCTATTGTGCCTCAGACATTCTTGCATGGAATTTTGTACTTTCTGGGAAATAACCAATACAGAATAAGGCCTTGTGCTTTTGAAAGTTGCTCTCTGTTGAATAAGGATGTGACATACTCTGTCACATTATTGGTGAGACGGGTGCTCAAGACAGGTCTACTTGAGCGAGTCTGGCAATGGCTTCGTCCACCAGGGCATGCGTTCTGTATCCTGTCCCTAAATCTAGGGCATCCTAGTTGGAGGCAGCCTCAATTGCCCCAAGTCCAGACACTGTCCTCCAGCCTTGTCCAAGGACCCCTGAGGATAGTTCGGCACCTGAGATTCCCTGAGCTGCCTGAAGGCGATGTACTCTGCTATCGGGAAGGATGCTTTCTTCTGCCCAGCTCCCTTCTAGCTTCTAGAGACTGGGCCATATAACTCTGTGTTCCACTTCTGACATCCTTGCTAAGTAGAGAGGAATATCTCCTGATGAACCTGCTGGTGTGATCGTACTAGAAATTGCAATAGAAAGAAAACTGGATCTATTATAAGAGACACTGTTGGTAATCTGAACTCCAGTATCAATTTTCTGTTCTACCTATAGCAACTTATTTAATTTATATACCTTAATTCTTTTTTTGGAGACTGTAATATAACATTAAGTGTTTTGTAATATTAACTATAATTTTCAAAATTGTTTTCTAATTCATTAAAGATTAAGTTATCTTTGTATGAAGTCAAAATGAATGTAATTGTCCCAATTCATTATTGTGTTCAAAACATGATGCTCTAACAGAATTAATTAAATTGTCGCTGCATATTTAATGCTTTTTTTCTGTTCACAGACAAGTTGTACAATTCTATTTATTTCGCCATTAATAGTAAGGGAAATACACTATCTTATGCAAAGACGACAAGCTCGCATATTGAGCGAGTGACCGCTGCGCACAAAAGAACAAGAATAATAGAAGACACATCAGGAGTGTGATTTCTTTTAATTCACCGTATTTTGGGATTGTCTTAAGAGCTCCAGCATAACCTCAGATTGTCAAGCCTCTTTCAACAGCGTCAGCCACTTGAGATGCTGACCAGAGTGAAGGCTGGGCTGTTTTTCTACACTACAGGAATTATGGTCGATGATTTTTATTGTTGTTGTTTCATGAATGTACTGAATGGCCTATGAATCCATCAGCATCTTTGTTTGGCCTGTTGAGGTTCATCCCTTTAACCTTAAATGCTATATTGGACTTGGACCCTTGTTCTCCAGCCTGGAAAGCTGAGTGACCACAAGGCAGTCGCGCATAGTTTGTATCAGCTACGTGCTTCATGAATAGAAAGGATCGTTTCATTTTGCCTTGGTAATGTTTGCAGAGTGTGGCTCATCTCTGAAGCATCAAATCCTGATAAAAGTGCTCAAGCTGGATGGAGCATACGCCTGCTGTGGACTAAGAATCCCTTTGTTAACGATGGTGGGAAAAACCATGCTACGTGCTGATTGGCTCAGTCACTCTGTACCTGGTCTAAAGTCCTTCAGCTCCAGAAGCGGAAATGTCTTTAAATTATTGTCAACTTGTTCTCCTCTGTCTTCATTCAAAATTAGCTTTGACTCCTGGGAGTAGTCGGTCTTCCTTTCAAGGACCATACGGTACATCAGTTGTCGTGAACATTCCAATGTGTAACTCACAACCGAAGTACTCAACCCCAGACTGGCTGTCTGGGAGCTTAGGATCCAGTAGGAAGGTAATCTGCTTAGCCCTATTTTCAGAGGATTGATCTCTGTCACAACCGGGTTCCTTGAGTTACCTCAGCAGAAGACTAGAATTAGGGAAAAGAGAAACACCTTTTGTCTTAGTAAGTGCTAAGTATGTGACATTGAATCACACTAATGGATTACTAGGGCTTGAGGGGTATCTAGGTATCTATTCTTTAGAAGTTTGTAGAGTATATGTCTTCAAGGCTGTGAATTCTATACTAATTATCAATATTTTAAGGTCATTCTGTATATATATTTTAAATTATGTAAGCGAACCAGGGGGAAAATGTGCAATTTTGAGGGCTGCCTAATTTGCTTTGGGTTAGGGAATATTTTTCAACCTCTTGCTTTCTAGCCTGAAATATGGTGTGTTATGAACTTGTTAATTTTATTTAATCAAGCAGATTTCCAATCAGTTAATTGCTCATTACTGACAAAAAGGGAAAATATGAAACACAGGGATGGAAAATAAACTGACTTTTATAGTAAATACCTGTCCATCTGGTTATTTAAATATATACCCTGAGTTCCGAGTTTTCGAATGTGATTCATGCCTTACAATTTCCTGCTACTGAGTGTCCGTAGTGACCAATCACTGACCCTACAGTGTTGGCAGATTGTACAGCTTCTCCCCTTCTAGTTGCTGGCGTGGCCCCATTTCTATTATGTTCTGTGAAAGCCTTCCTCTCCCCTTTGTATTAAGATTGTGCTCAGTTTGGATGAATTGCCTAGTTGTAATTTAAGAGTTATCTGTAGATGAACCCCATTTTTATTAACCTCTTTCTGACATTTGGCTGAAAGGTTTCCTCTCCGCCCACACAATCAGTATGGTCCCATCTTTGTATCCCGACACCAACCCTTGTTTTCTTACTCAGTTTAAACTTAGCAGGGTGAGTGTTCCCCTGACCTCTTTGTAGCCCCCAAGCTGTACCTGAAATGAAATTATAAATAAAATAAGTTCTCAGCACTGAATGAAATTATATATGGCGCTATGGGTGTATTCCCTATTGTTCGGTTCTGGCGATCTATGTAGGAATTAGCTTTAAAGAACTCTGAAGAGATAGTCACTTTCTTATTAAATTTTTTCCCTTGAAGAAAAGACCATAGTGAAGGCTAATTTGGAAATGGATTCTTCTCTGACAGCTTGATCTCTGATGCTCACTAGGTTGAAATAAAATGCTCTGCCTTTTCTTGTTTTCTTTTCTCCTTCTGTATAGTTTGAAAGGAAGAAAGGCCCCTCCCCTCTCCTGCTTATTCTGTTCCTTCCTGCTTCCTGGAGGACTGGAGTCCCACAGTCAACATTCATGAAGAAATGTCAGGGCCCTCTGTATGCATCATGATGTTCAGTGGGATGGAGGAGAGGGGACGTTCTCATTGATTTACACCTTTCCTTCTCCTTTAAAACATCCAGAAGTCCTGACTCCCAAATAAGTAACTGATAAAGCCTTTCCTTATCCTTGCTAGTTCTTCTGACTCATGTCCTGTCTTCTTTTTCACAACAAACTCTTTGGGTTAAAGGATGGTATCTCCTGCCTTTCTGGCTGCACTATTAACTTCCTCTTCAACCAGGTAACTATCTGTTTGCCCCGGACAGTCCTGGTTTACGCCTGTTGTTCCGACCAAATTGTCAATAGCATCCTCCTTTGCTCTCCAAGTGTCCCAGTTTCGACATCTTTAACCTCTGACCTCTTATTTCATCACCCTACAGAAACCGTGCATCTGAAGGTCATTGAATTTGGAGATCTTTTTTTCTCATTCCTTATCTTTCTTAATCCTTCTCTGGTACTTGACACCGGTAACCACCTCGTTTTCCCCAAGACTTTTTTCTTTAGCTTCTATGGCATTTTCATTTATTGACTCCTTCCCTCCTATCCCTTTATGGGTTCTCTTCACTGCTGTCCCTCTGCTAGTTTCCTTCCTAAAAGAGGTGTCACCAGCTTTCTCTGACAAGCTGTTTTTTGTAATCTGCCAATAGCTCTGTTGAATACTTAGTGAATGAGACACATTAAGGAGAGGAATGGCATCAGTTTGTTAAATACTATCTGGCGTAGAGTTAAGAACGAGTCTTGAGGGAGGGACGGGGGCTCAACATATAACCTCAACCCCCGTCCCGTCCCCACACGGACCACTCTGCCAATTGCCTACATGAATGGTTTTCAACTTTTCTAAGTCATAAAGCCTTTTGAGAATCTGAAAGGCATTTACCCTCTCCCTAGATCAAAATGCACGTATGAACAAACATTCGAACTTTATTACAGGGTGCTCATGGGCTGAAACTTGAAGCCCGTCTTTGGACCTCAAAGTTAGAAACCTTGGTTGTGAGAATCGAGTGCCACCTGGCATGAGGTTTTTCACAATCCAGCTTCAATCTATTTCTTTACTGAATCTCCCATTGCCTCTCTACATGAACCTTCTACGAAATCAGACTGGTCAGCTTATTTCTTGCTACAAATGGCAGTGTGTAATCAGATCTTTTTTTTTTTAGGAAACACCTGTTTTTGTTTTATTTATTTATTTATTTGCTGAGGAAGATTCGCCCTGAGCTAACATCTGTGCCAGTTTTCCTCTATTTTTACATGGGTTGCCACCACAGCATGGCTGCTGATGAGTGGTGTGGGTTCGCATCTGGGAACCAAACCTGGGCCACTGAAGTGGAGCGTGCTGAACCTAACTGTTAGGCCATGGTGCCAGCCCCTTTTTTGTTTTTTTTAAGTTAAAAAAATTAATTGTGATAAAATGCACATTACATAAAATTTATCATCTTAACCACTTTAAGTGTACAGTTCAGTAGTGTTAAGTATATTCACATGTGATGCATGCCTTCTTGTCTTGATTCACACTTCTTGTCTGTAATACCCCTCTTTAACTCTCAGCTTTCTGAATCTTAATTTTCCTTCAAGGCTTGGCCAAGCACCATCTAGTCCAAGAAACCTTTCCCAGCCAGCCTCGCTAGCCCTCTGCTGTCTCGCCTTCCTTTGGTAGTGATCTCAATATTATTTATTTGGTGCTTAGCTGTTTCTCTTACTGATTTTTATGTCTAATTCCTCAAGGAGATTGTTGTTCTTTTGCTCCAGTGCCTAGTTCCTTGCCTGGTTGGTGCTGAGTAAATGTTGATCATGTTGGAAAAGGTGGAGGGAAAATGAGAGTGGAAGGTGGGCAAAGCGGACTGTGGCTCCCTGACCCTGCAAATGGCCCTTCCCTTTGCTTTACATGAGACACCGTGGCTGCAGTAAATGGCCAGGTTATCAGGCTGTCTGGCATGGAGTGCATTATCCTCTCCTTGGCCTCTTCCGTAGACCCGTCAGCTCTCCCAGAGAGCTAAGCGACAGTGAACAGTGAGCTTTTTGCTGCAGCACAAATCCCATGTTGTTCAAGCTGCTGTCTTTATTCCTGCTGCATGTTTTCACCTGGACTGTCCTCTTCCTTCCTCTGCCGTCCTGATTCTGTTCATCCCTCTCAGCCCCTGATGTCCCACCTCCATGGAGCTTTTCCTGATCGCCAGCTCCTAATGCTCTTTCCCTTCTTCAAACTTGTAGCGCCGTTACAGGTAGACCACACAGTCTGCCCCAGGCTGATTGCTTTCACTGCTTCATTTTGTTCTCTGGTTGCTTCTGGTTAAGTTGTCATTTCCTCAATTAAACTGGGAGTGTCAGAGTCAGCTCCATGTCCAAGGACGCTGCAGCCGTTTAATCAAGACAGAGATCTACCTTCCCATGTGTCTTCTTGTACTTTTAAATTCAGGGTCATTTTCCTTTTGCTTTTCCTTAAATGCCCTGAGCATTTCTGGTGACCAAGTTTTTTTCAGCATATATCTAGAATAAATCAGATTAAATATGAAATACTGATGTTTACATATGTCAACATGGATAATACAATTCACTTAAATACTTATATATGTGTGTGTTATATATAATTATGAGTAATGATATATATGTTCTATGTAGCTATGTTACATGTAACTGTACACACATACATAGACACATATGTCTCAAGTCTAAAACTTGAAAAAGAATTCTGTACCTGAGTACCCCGTGGTGTGGTCTTTCCATCATCACGACTATAATACTTCATATGTGTACACATCTTTAAAAAGTGCCCTCCCATTCCCTACTCGCCTTTCTCCCCACCACATCTTTGGGAGGTAGGCAGGACACATGATTCTGTTCGTTAGATGCGAGAACGGAGGCTCAGAGATGTGCAGTGGTTTGTGCAGGGTCCCAGAATCTAGTAAATGACAGAAGCAGGACTAAGTAAAAACCTAGGTCTTTTGACTTAACTCCAGTGTTTTTTCCATTATGCCTTGCAGCCTCTTCTTATTTGACTTAATCTTCTCCCAGGCTTATTTCCAAGGGATAAATTGTGCTTCTGCGCTCATCTTTTTCAAGGGCCGGAGTCCCGGAGGGTGCGCGGGCCTGTCCCACGTGTGAAGCTTTGTGTTAGAACTGCCTCCAGCCCTGCACCTGCCGCTCGGCTGCGCGCCCCACGGCCGCCCTGGCACCGCTCCCTAGCTTCTCTGCGTGGTGCTTCTGCTCCAAGTTTGCCTTTTTAAAACACCCCTCCTTCTTTTTCTTGGTCCTTCTGTCTGAGGCTCAGGAGGATTCTGCCACCTGACAAACTCTTGCCTTGTAATCTCTTCCCTCCTTCTGGGCCCTGGGTGGTCGGTGTGATGATTTCATGTGCCCATCTCAGCCAGGTCTGCCTCTTGCCTCCTGCCCAAGGTCCCTGCTCTTACCCTTCTCTATAACGAATGTTTAATTAACTTTGGGTGAGGGTCTTGCTTTGAAAATGCCATTAGTCAGCTTTTTACTGCTTGCTATTGTCCTATGATTAAAGAAATACCTTTTTTTTCCTTTTTCTTCTGTCAGAAATTAGATAAGAAGCAGCAAAATCATTTGGAACCATTTTAAATCCCCTTTATCACGAGGAGGTTGTCGTCTTGTAACTCCATCACCAGTGGAATACTGATAAAAGGGCCACCCCGTTTGCTGGGAATGTTGTTGTGGATTTTAATGGGATAATTGTAGGTAGGTAAAACCTTTCATGTGAGCACTTCAAAGGCCTTCACCTTGTTTAATAGTTATTATCATGCCCTAAAGACACACATCAGGTACCACCGTCCTAGATTGTGTGTGTGTGTGCATTTGCTTATTTATTTAGCATTTTGTTTGTTTTCCTAGGCTTACTATAGAAAGTTTCAGGAACCTAACAGTATGCAGTTAGTTTCGATTAAAACCTAATTTAATTGATCAATTAGTTAATTGATTTCCATTAGTTCCTAATGAAGAGCATACATAACTTGCTGTTGTCTCATGGAGTGAAGATGTTAAAGATGGAGATGAAGGTCAAGCAGCAGTAACTAAAGTAGAGGCAGCAGAGACCCTGCCCCAAATGCCCCGTAGTCATGAAGTAGGTTTCATCATTGTTTGCACTATGAGTTGCATTTACATAAAAGATGATTCTGTGAACAGGCTCTCCAGAGGAAATATAAGT